TCCCAGCACTCGGGAGGCAGAGGCAGGCAAATCTCTGAGTTAGTTCAAGACCAGCCTGGTCTACATAGTGAGTTCCAGACCAGCTGGGGCTACAGGGAGACCCTGTCTCAAAAAGACAAAACAAAAATATATGAACAACTATGCCTATGAATTTGATAGTCTGGATAAAATGGGTCAGTTACATCCAAATGATGGATTGTGCTGCTGACATTAACCTGTCTGTCCTTGCTATTTCCTTCCTGCAGGATCTGTCAATTACTAATAGGTGTAAAAGTCTCCAACTATGTTATGGATTCATCAGTTTCTCCTCATAGTTTTCAGTTTTTAAAAAAAGATTTTTATTTTATGAATGTTTTGCCTGCATGTACACCCTGTGTGTGCCTGATGCCCGTGGAGCCACAAGAGGGTGTCAGGTCCCTAGAACTGGAGTTACAGACAGTTGTGAGCCACCATGTGGGTTCTGGGAATCAAATCTGGGTCCTCTGCAAGAGCAGCAAGTGTTCTTAACCACTGAGCCATCTCTAGCCCCTTCTCAGTTTTTGATGTGGCATTTACTCTAAATTATTTCCAAGAGTTCTTCTAGACCCCACATTCTTTATTGTGTCTTTTCCATCACATGCTTCCAGATACAGCCAAACAGTCCCAAGCAAACCTGCCTACAGAAGTCCATTGCCAAGTCTGCACTTATTATAATGCTTAGGTGGCCCAGGAGAAACAAAGAGCCTGACCTCTGACCTCGGCCATCCCTAAACAGCCTCAGTATTTCCTTTGTTTAGATCCAGAACTGACTATCTAAAGGGGTCTGAGGCTAAATAAAAATATGGAACCTACAGCCAGGGGTGGTGGTGGATACCTTTAATCCTAGTGCGTGGGAGGCAGAGGCAAGTGGATCTTTGTGAGTTCAAGGCCAGCCCGGTAGACATAAGAGTTCCAGGCCAGCTGGAGCTACAGAAAGACGGGAAGACACTGTCTCAAAAAGACAAAAAAAAAAAAAAAATAGGGAACCTGCAGCTGTGACATAAAAACTATTCTCCTTTGGCTGGAGAGATGGCTCAGCAGTTAAGAGCACTGACTACTCTTGTAGAGGACCTGGGTTTAGTTCCCAGCATCCACATGGCAGCTAACAACATCTGTAACTCCAGTTCCAGGGCATTCAATGCCCTCTTGGGCATTGTACAACATGAGATGACTTACAATACATGCAGGTAAAACACTCATATGCATAAAATAAAAAAATAATATTAATAAAATTTAAAAACTAAGCCGGGCGTGGTGGTGCACACCTTTAATCCCAGCACTTGGGAGACAGAGGGAGGCAGACCTCTGTGAGTTCAAGGCCAGCCTGGTCTACATAGTGAGTTCCAGGTCAGCTGGGGCTACAGGGGGACCCTGTCTCAAACAAACAAACAAACAAAAAAAAAAAAACTACACTCCCAGAAGGTTTGGTTGAACTGAGGTTTTTCTGCCGCAGATGTGCACTCTCCTAGATATTAGACCCCAAAAACTCTAAACTTATGGATGAAAAACAGATCCAGGAAGAAGTTATGATTATAATCAAGAAGTCTTAATTATAGAGAATCAAGCATACTAGGGGGATGTGATGCTATTTGTATTATAAAGGATTTTCCTATAAAGAGCTAATTTCCTAAAGGCCTTGAAATATAATTCAATTTATAGAAACACATAAATTGCTTACAATTTCTTGTTGGGACATATATGTGTTACAGAATTATAGTACAGTGCTAATGTCAAATATTAGGTCCAGAGATACAATCTGGCCAAGGTCACTATCAGGTTGGTGAGTTCAAGGCCAGCCTAGTCGAAATAAGAGTTCCAGGCCAGCTGGGGCTACTGAGCCCAGGGATCTTACTCCCTGTCTTTTAAGTGACTGTACTTTCCCACCCCCCAATTGATCCCTGTACCATGGTGCCTAGCTCTCCACCTAGAGAGTCCTTGAGTCCATCTACCTCCCCTTCCTCATGCCATAGGCTCCAGCTTTTGGCTAAGAGCAGACCGGGACCCAGACCTACCTGCTGAAGCTGCAGAAGATGGAGAAGAGCCCCAGGACCATGTTGGCCAGGGACAAGGCATTAATAACATCCTTCCAGGAAAATTCAGTCGTCTGGGAAATGTTCTGATCATCGTTCGGGGAGAAATTGGTACACTGACCTGGGTCCCAGGAGAGAGGGGTAAGGGATTCCCAAGGTCAAGAAGTCTCCAGGGAGGCTCCCTGGTGACTCCTATGATAAGGAGAAGTTATATTCTTGTAACTAAACTGAATTCTGTCCTTCTAAGCTTAGGTCATTTGAAGTTTCCTCTTCTTTTACTTACTAGGTAAATATCTTGAAATACAGCCCTATGATATTTTACTACACCTGGAACTCGCTACGTAAACCAGGCTGGCCTTGAACTCACAGAGATTCACCTGCCTCTGCCTCCAGAGTGCTGGGACTAAAGGCATGTGCCACCATGCCCAGCTTAAAA